ACGCTAACAAAAGCCGCGTTATACGCCTTCATCTTACTTCAGTTTGACAATAATTACGAATTATTCCGCTCCTATTTTACTCATTTAAAATGAATAGCCTCTCACAAAAGCAAGCGATATTATTCATGTTTCATATACCTCGGGGCAAACTAAACACCAACTTGAATTATGAATACTCTAATTCTTATCATCTTCACCCCCTACTCTCCTCAAGATCTTTGTCTGCATCACCGATCTTACAGAGCAAAAAGCCGAGGTCTTAGAGCGAAAACTCTCCATAGCGCCTACTACAGACGGCGAATTACTAATAGCTCAACCGAGAAGAAGAAGTCGAGCTAGTTCAATCATGGAGAGGAGTGAGCCGAAGTCTCTGGCAACTGTCCAATCAACAATGACCGCCGAACGTCTCTCCTATATTGCGCTGTTTGAAGGTATCATCGGTATCACAATGGCTATTTGCACCATGACCATGGGTATTGGACACTACTTGTATTGAATTAAGTAGCGGTTGACATGAAATGATATTTATGAGTCCACTTTGATTTTCCCAGGATCTGCTATTTCCAAATTTGGATTTCAGTTTCCTGCTTGGTTTATGCTTGGACTAGTTGCTATAAACTTGGTGCTCACAGCACTTATGCCTAACACCAAAGTCCTGTGGGACACTGCAACCAGGAGGAATTCGTTAGCGCCTAAAGGATTAGATGTGGACACGAGGAAAAACCTGCTTTCAATTTCGGAGACGGGCGAAAATCGAGACTCCCAAAACCCAAATGTTGTTGTGAAGCCACCGGCACCGAAAAAGAAGACCAACTGTTGTACTGCTCTTAAGCAAGTAAGTTTTTTGAAATATTTTCAATCAAGTTTTGCCAGTAAATTAGATTCAGTTTTTATCCAAACACATGATCTGCTGTGATCTTGAATTTGAACCGATAGCAATTGCGTTTTATGGGGTTTGAATGTTTCAAATATAAATCGCGCAAATTAGAGAGTAATGTTTTCTCTGTGCTATTTAAATGTTGTACTTAAATTGAACATTCTATTATGATAGCCAAAGGGGAGAAAATGGCGTTTAAAATCCCTATATAAATTGCCTTTCAATCATTGGTTACTTTCCCTTATTATATATATGCAGTAGGGAATTCCAGTTAAATACAATTGTATTTTATCAGATGGAGCCCTATTAAAATTGCACTTTTAAACTGTTCAATGCGCACAAATTTCCTCATTGTATACTAGATTATTTATCTATATCAAATGGCAGGCGTTTTGATGGTTATCATTAGCCCTTTTGGTTGACTTCAGGCTTCACAGAGGGGAGGAGGAACATCAAAGCGGAAAAAAAACTCGAGAGGAGGGGGATGAACAGAAGAGTGTTTCAAAGACGAAGGTAGAATAGGTAGAAAAAAGGTGAGGTGAGTACTGTGAAATATTCCAATATGGCATCGAGTGAGGTGATGGTAGTTTGAAGTTAGAAGTCAACTGCCGATTAATAGACTTTTTTGCGTATGAATAAACGTCGCCCAGGGTGTACCACGTGAAGGTAAGTCTATCGCACACCCCTTTATTAAAAATTATTGAACAGTAGTCGTAAATTGAAGGTGTGTGTGTGTGTGTGTTCAAACAAATGACCTCTGTGGTTTTTGAAGATATTCAAATGGAAGAGGATTGAGAAGACCATAATCCTAAAGATAATCTAACTGATAAACGCCTTTGCATTGAAGGCTTGTACATTAATACCATCAGGAAATTAAATCAAATCATGCCAATCGGATTTCTTTTTGAAGAAGATGATGAATAGACCTACTCGAAATCGTTAAATTTCATTGTACTCCTGAGGCGGGGTTCTCTTACTGAATGAATCATTGCTATTTCCCAAGTTCTTCTCAATTATTTTTTCAAATCATCTTAACTTTTAAGTGGATAATAGGAAAAATTATCAACAGCATTGGTTTATATGCGATTTAAGCGCAATACATTACAGCGTATTCAAAAGCTGAAATTTTGGCGAGTGGTAACCGTGAATCAACACATAAAATAAACTGAAGTTAGTGATAAATACAGTTTATAAAGATATAGTTTCCACTGATTGGTCTAATTGAAGAAGTTCTATATCGAATTATTGAGGAAATGTAATTTCGCGCGCTATTTGCAATTTGACAGCCTCATTTTAAAGATCCCAGGTGATCGATATATCACTTTTGAAATTATTACTAGAGATAGAATTGCACTGATTGTAAAACTTCTTTGCTTAAAGGCTATTTTAATCAAATAAACCTAGTCTAGGACTCTTCTCTAATGTTTTTTAATTAACAGCATTCCGTTTTTTGCATTGGTCTAAACAACATGAAAGAAATTGAATAGAAAAAGCGATAGTACTTGTTGTTAGCGCTATTTTACATGGTAAAATTTGTCTTCAATGCCATTAAAAGGGAAAAAAGATGAGAAAAATATATCAGTAAATCTACTTAATGCATCAAATCGAATTTACTGGAGAATTTTCACCTTAAGTATTAATTTCTTGTTCCTATAAGGGAGAAACGGCATTGCGGGCATGGAAATCAAACTTATAACAATGCTATGCATTCTGTTCGGAAAGTCATTTAAGTAGTAGATTGAACAGATAAGAGTTATTAATGAATTAATAAACAAAATCAATGAAAAGATAAAAATATAGAGAATGGGAAAGAAAAGAAATTAAAAGGTAGCGAAAAGATTCTATGCAAACCTTAACCGAAGAAATCTATTAAGCTCATTAATCAAGAAAAAAATATATAAGTAAACCTTTGTAGATACTGACTGAAGTTTGTGAAATAATAGCAAAATTTCTATATAAATAAAAGGAAGATATATTTTGTATTTAATTGATTTAGTAGGAATTAAAATTTATATAATTTACTAAAACTCTGCGTATAATATAGAAGGTAATAAAAAGCGATCAACGATGAAAGCTTAGCAGTACAAACTGTCAGAGTCATGCCACACTTAGTATATGTTCAGGAGAACATTATATTAAAGAAAGTGGTTTTAAAAGAATATTCCTAAACCAATAAAGAGGAAACCCACATTAATTTATAAATTACTCCTATTCCAACTCAATTAACATGCACAAAGAAAAAAATAAGCTGTTAGTTATATTAAACTAAAAGACTTAAATAACTTCATTGGTTTATTAAGTAATATTTCATGCAGACTTTTTAATATATCGATAAATAACTGTCCTTGTCGCTAAACGAGCGCGCCGTTTACGGTCACTTTTTTAATCGATGGAGTTCGCTGCGCGTCCTCTCGCCGGTGATCATTCTGCCGAACTTATTTTTGGTGGACCAAGTCATTGGGAAGAGAAGCTTATTTCTCGTGTCGGCCACACATGTCAACTGGATATCGATCAAG